CAGATAATCGTCACTGGTGTTGGCCGTAAGCGGAAATCGAACCCGTGTCGCCGGGTTTATAGCGCAGCGCGCTAACCGCTACACTACCACTCCCCACACTCACCTGTGCACTCACTCACCTGCACACTTACTCCCAAACGCACCAAGTTACTCAATAACTCATCTGGACACGCACTCGCAACACACTCGCTCGCCCACTCACCCATTAGCCCGCCCACGCATCCACCCTCGCACTTGTGCGTCCACTGACTGACTCGCTCACCAGTCAAAGCTGTACACCACGAGACACCCAACACAACATAAATAGACGTGTCACGCGTTCACATTTGCTAAAATGTGAACGATGGCCTAAGACACGAGGGCCGACAATTGAGTTATTCAGGAGCTGCTGATTGCTTTTACATAATACGCAAATTGCGAGTGCTTTTTACGCGTGTTTGCATCTTGTTTGATACTTTCTCATCTCCTCAAGCTCAGTTACTCTTGATGACAGTCAACTCGAAGGGTTTAATTTGTAAATGTTGCCTAATCCATGAGTTCCACTTTTAGTTACTCGGTGCAATGCCCAGCATGTACCTCTCCATGCTTCCATGCACACTTTTCAGCTTTTGTTAAATTTTGTCAGTGTCCACGTTTCAAAACGTGATGCCACAGCATGTTGTGTAAGATTGGGGATCGGGCTGGTACTCGCGTCTGCTTGGCGAGTTGGTGAAGATTATGGGTAGGGCCCGCGATTATATACTAAAGCTTTTAACAAATATCTTTGTCTGATTACACGTCTGATTGCAGTGCAATAACCACCGTAAATGTCATGTTTCTGTAACGCAATTGTAATATGAACGGTTTAAACGTACCATTTCAGAGCCAATCTTCGTTGCAAGAAAGGTATTTACCATCATATTGATGGATGGCAGTACAATATTTTCGATTTCTATTGTATCGCAGCTGGGTGTGTTTTGATGTCATTTTGCTGCATTGCTGTGCATTATTTCACTGCCGTGATTTTGGTGACCGGGTTACTCTTGCGCAGGAGACACATCCTGCTTTGTGAGTTCTCACCTCGGGAAACAGAATAAACCTGAGGCTTGAATGTGGTCGACAAGTTTGCCGTGCCCCAAACTGCCCTCTGTTTCAGCCCACTGCTACCTGTCGCCTTCTCAATATCTGGCTGGTTTCGTTTTTGGCATTCACATCGCCTAATGAACGCTTGATGATGTAAATCAACTAAGCCCAATTGATTCTTCAAGTGAAACCTCAGGGAGGATTCTCCTGCATTGGGAGGTTTGTCCAATTTCATTCATGGGAGGTTGGATTGGGGTAGAGGAAATCTGGACAAAACCCCTACACGCATTCGAGGGGATGATACCACTTACAGCTGAGTCATAGATAAAGTAATCTACTGCTGTACTACCATGTGCTGGCTGCAAGGGGAAAGAGTTTAACGGCAGAAACACTCAAATCGCAGCACCACGACCTTTAACCCCCTCGAGTGGGACAGTCGCCCTCTGCTCCCAAGTTGCTGCGACGTCACGGCCACGCTGGAACCCTTTGTGACAAGGGCTGTTTATTACATCTCCGATACCAGATCAGAGGGTGTATCCCTACATACTGTATAGAGTATGTTATGCCGTGTAAAACATGTTGAAACGGTTCTCCAATTTGATCCTCATGTTGTGGGCAGCATGTCATGGGCCAATGAATTCATAATTAAATTTCGCTCAGCAGCACAACCCCCTTATAAGAATAAAGGCCCACAGAAGAAGATATTGCAGAGCTACCTCTGAGATCCCTTCACGCCCCCACTCGCTCTGCCACCGATAGAAATGTTCGTCTCCTGAGTAAAACTGACATTTTTTATTCTTCGAGATGGAATATAGGCAATTAAGTGCAGAACCAAATTTTACATAACGATGACGGGCTGAAACCATAAACTCACTCCATTTGAGAACCCGGTTTGATCACAGGCGGCTGAAACTTCATTTTAAACCCACGATCTCAATGATGTCACCTTAGCCCTCTTATTTCCGAGCCACCTCAAATATATGATCTTATGTAGCTGAAGGCCGGTGGAAGGGTAGAGAGGTGGGATCCATCATGGGAGACCCAGGAGAAGAGATGAAGCATCATGACCTCTCTATGTGCTGTGACGAAGGGCCATTTTCTGAATCGTCAACTATATACTTTTCCTTTTTAAGGTCACTGTGTTGTTGACAGATGTGTTGAGATGTTTGGTAATGCGTGCAGAAGCGGCTCGATTTAGGAGGCCTGAGATTTCGAAGGCTTTGGGTCTCCCATTGCTGTCTGTTCAAATATTCATTAAGTCGTTACACGCTTCGCATGCCTGATGATTGATAAACACGACGCGCAGTGAAATAGAGAGCGCTGATTTAGACCAAGAGAGGCGAGTCCCCGTGTGTCCTGCGTGGTGGAGTTTGCGTCCCTCATCCCAATCGGAACACTCCGCTTCACGTGGAACGAGTTCAGTAAACACCGCATGTGCGTGGTGCTGGCCACTCAACCCCTAGTGTGCCACAGTGACGGCCTTCATCGGTGCTGTTCGCCAGCAACACTTAGCACGACAGTCTGTCAAGTTCACAGGGGGCGCCTTTGTGTTGAGTGTGTGTGTGGGCCCGTGTATGTTTAGACTATGTGAGTGTACGTGACGGATAGGTCGACTCAGTCTCAGCCGAATCCCTGATGCGGTGTGTCAACATTAGGAAAACAGGCGGCCGGCGTGTTGCTGGCGACCCACCCCCTCGTGTGCCACAGTGGCGGCCTTCATGAGGTGCTCGCTAACAGCACTTGCACCTGCAGTCGAAGGCTATAGGGAGGACTTTGTCTTTGAAAGTGTGTGGGTACGTGTGACTGTGTACGCTTGTACAAGTGTGTGGGTACGTGTGCGAGTGATTGAGTACAACCACAGGACCTGGCGGGGCGAGGTCTCGTGCCGTTGTTTGGCCGCTTCAGAAATAGCTTCACGTGGAACTTTGACCCTCGTGAGTGCAACGCAGCCTCGCCTCGCGTCACCACCGCCATCACCTTGCAGAGACACCGCCAACTGTTCGGACTCCTCACGGCCTCGTTCCTCACCGGACGTCTTCCGAGTCGCCTGTGTGGAACGCCGCTATGCTGGTTTGGCAGCAGGGTTATGGGCGTATGGCACTACCACTATAGTACAACGTAAGCCTGCTCATAATGCTCCTCCATAACTAGAGAGACACACACACAGACACACACAGCAAGTCACACACACAGCAAGTCACAGAGACACACACACAGCAAGTCACAGCCACCACCATCCACACTCTCACTTCATTACCCAACCACGCACAAGTCACTCGATTAGCAGTGCCACGCACGCAATCACCGACAGCTACATACCCCAACACTCGCTGTGTAACGCAGAGCAGCAAATGATGTATCCACCTGCCAAAAACAATAGCTGCTGGATCGCTCGGCTATAATCACGGTCATCAGTAGCCATACTCAACCTACTACTGCATGAAGACTTCCACAAGCGTTCGCCATCTCTCAACAATGTAACATCTACGCACGCGAGCCAATTTCATCGCTCAATCTCTGCGGTGGATGTCCTCTCAGACCTCTTTCATTCATTGGATATACTGCAATTATACAACATACATAAAAACGCATCATCGATTCATTTATTATATTAATCAGTAAAATTATCGCCAGATTAAATTTGTTTCATTCAATTAAACAGAATGTGCCCTGTACTTGGGTGGTCATCATGAGGCTGTGATGATGTGGTTGGGTGTTTTGTATTTGTTGACTCCCTCTCGTGTCGCTTTCTCAACACCACCGCCGTGGTTCCACGCAGCCTGCTGCTGCTGCCACTCTCTCGTACCACCCGATGACTGCTCTGTGCTTCCAGTGTTCAAAAGCCTGCTTAAGGCGCGGCTCCGGCTGGAGCACACATACCACACACATGTCGATGATGTGCACGTCTTCTTCGAACGCTGGGGAGCCGGAAAAGCCCCTCTCTGTAGCAGCGTGCACGGCACCCTCGTGTTCACCTTCTGAAGCGCTCGATCGTCACCGTGGCATGCGCGATGACCACCACCACGTGGCTTTTATTTTGTGTTGTGCGCGGTGCTTTTAGCGCCATAGCGCGTGGATTTGTAGCGTTTATATTTCATTTGTTTGCTGGTGACGGTGTATTTCGAATCGAAATCGCCTCCAGTGCTGTTGCTGCTGGCGGCAATAAAAGTTGTTTAATAGTCAAGTCTGTACCACCCGAACTCAGCCTGGCACATCGCACGCGGGACTCCATCCAGCATTGGATGGATGATGGCTGCTGTTGATGATGATGCTGTTGCCAACTTACAATTAAGAACAGTGAGCAAGCCATGCGAAGAGTCGTGGATTGGAGCGAGAGGAATGCGTTCCCGAACAAATAGCCCGGACAATGAGCGTGCATTAACCGGGCTACAGCAACTCACTCACTCACTCACCACACCGCAGTTTACAACACACTCTCCCACTCACCACTGCTCATCGCACTCTCCCACTTTGGAATTGCCTGTAATCGTGGTCCCCAAAGTTGTTATAATCACTTTGCTCAATACTGTACAAGAAACGCGTTCACGCCCGATGTGTTATAACTTTGATAGTGCTGGGTGTTGCTGGCCGTCTTGCTTTTTTGGGCGTTTGTACCCGTGCGTAGCAACCGTGAAAATAATAACCTCGTTGTTATTGTGTCGCATTGGCCGTGTTACCGACCCTGGCACCTCTCTCTCCCTCTCATCGCGACACAAATAACCACGCACGACGCCTGACCCAGACCACAGCCGAGACTCATTCACCCCCCCCCCCCCCCCAGGGCCCCGTGCGAGTCGGCAGGTGGAGGTGGGGGAGGCGGCAGGTGGAGGTGGGGGAGGAGCCAGGTGGAGGTGGGGGAGGAGCCAGGTGGAGGTGGGGGAGGAGTCAGGTGGGGGTGGGGGAGGGGCCAGGTGGAGGTGGGGGAGGGGCCAGGTGGGGGTGGGGGAGGGGCCAGGTGGAGGTGGGGGAGGCGGCGTGGCCGTCTCCGCGTGACCGGCAGCTCGGACGGGCTGCGTCATCGTCACGTCACCGCTATAAAGTCGAGCGTCGAGGGGGCGAGAGGAGACACGCGGAGCACAGACAGCGAGTGGCAGACAGAGACATCGAGACAGACAGAGAGACAGACAGAGAGAGAGAGACACCGAGACAGACAGACAGAGAGACAGACAGAGAGAGAGAGAGACAGAGACAGATAGAAAGAGACACCGAGGCAGAGACACCACGAGAGTGGAGATACCCGCAGAGTCACGATCGCCAACTGTACGCGACCTGGGACACACACTCGCACACACTTACTCACACACACACTCACTCACACACTCACACACGAGTCAAGAGTACAAATACGACGGTACGCACGAAGTGACGAGCACTGAAGTACACACACAGACCAACTCACAAGCATCAACAACATCAACAACAACAACGCGAGAGCGCACAGAGAGACGGAGAGAGACGCGGGACCCGTGGGATGGAGACCCCCGCAGCCCCGAGTCTCGTGGTGCTCAAATCCTACCACGTGCGCGACGCGCCCGACTCGGCCGCCGAAACCAGGTACCCCGCTGTGTCTCCACGTACCCTCCTGTGTCTCCACGTACCCTCCTGTGTCTCCACGTACCCTCTGTGTCTCCACGTACCCCCCTGTGTCTCCACGTACCCTCCTGTGTCTCCACGTACCCTCTGTGTCTCCACGTACCCCCCTGTGTCTCCACGTACCCTCTGTGTCTCCACGTACCCTCCTGTGTCTCCACGTACCCTCCTGTGTCTCCACGTACCCTCCTGTGTCTCCACGTACCCTCCTGTGTCTCCACGTACCCTCCTGTGTCTCCACGTACCCCCTGTGTCTCCACGTACCCTCCTGTGTCTCCACGTACCCCGCTGTGTCTCCACGTACCCTCCTGTGTCTCCACGTACCCCCTGTGTCTCCACGTACCCTCCTGTGTCTCCACGTACCCTCCTGTGTCTCCCTGTACCCTCCTGTGTCTCCACGTACCCTCCTGTGTCTCCACGTACCCTCCTGTGTCTCCACGTACCCCCCTGTGTCTCCACGTACCCTTCTGTGTCTCCCTGTACCCTCCTGTGTCTCCACGTACCCGCCTGTGTCTCCACGTACCCGCCTGTGTCTCCACGTACCCTCCTGTGTCTCCACGTACCCTCCTGTGTCTCCACGTACCCTCCTGTGTCTCCACGTACCCTCCTGTGTCTCCACGTACCCTCCTGTGTCTCCACGTACCCTCCTGTGTCTCCACGTACCCTCCTGTGTCTCCACGTACCCCGCTGTGTCTCCACGTACCCTCCTGTGTCTCCACGTACCCTCCTGTGTCTCCACGTACCCTCCTGTGTCTCCACGTACCCTCCTGTGTCTCCCTGTACCCTCCTGTGTCTCCACGTACCCTCCTTTGTCTCCACGTACCCTCCTGTGTCTCCACGTACCCTTCTGTGTCTCCCTGTACCCTCCTGTCTCCCTGTACCCTCCTGTGTCTCCACGTACCCGCCTGTGTCTCCACGTACCCGCCTGTGTCTCCACGTACCCGCCTGTGTCTCCACGTACCCTCCTGTGTCTCCACGTACCCTCCTGTGTCTCCACGTACCCCCTGTGTCTCCACGTACCCCGCTGTGTCTCCACGTACCCTCCTGTGTCTCCACGTACCCCCTGTGTCTCCACGTACCCTCCTGTGTCTCCCTGTACCCTCCTGTGTCTCCACGTACCCTTCTGTGTCTCCACGTACCCTTCTGTGTCTCCACGTACCCTCCTGTGTCTCCACGTACCCCCCTGTGTCTCCACGTACCCCCCTGTGTCTCCACGTACCCTTCTGTGTCTCCCTGTACCCTCCTGTGTCTCCACGTACCCGCCTGTGTCTCCACGTACCCGCCTGTGTCTCCACGTACCCGCCTGTGTCTCCACGTACCCGCCTGTGTCTCCACGTACCCTTCTGTGTCTCCCTGTCCCCTTCTGTGTCTCCACGTACCCCCCTGTGTCTCCACGTACCCGCCTGTGTCTCCCTGTCCCCTTCTGTGTCTCCACGTACCCTCCTGTGTCTCCACGTACCCTCCTGCCTCCCCCGCCCCCGTCCTCTACCGGTGTGTCCATTTGCGATATTCGTGTGTGGTGGGCGGTGGCTTTCCATGCAACTGCGCTCCCGTATTCGATTCTCGGCCACGGCTAAATCTCAGTGGCTGGTGATGTTTAAACCGGTGACTGGGGCCTGGCTTCCCCAGCCATCGCGAACCCGCACTGACCAGCGTGGTGAAGTATGACCCCCACCAACACACGGCGTGGAGAGGCGTTCACCTAGCACTAGGTTGACAAAGGTGGTGACGTGTTAATCGTTCCTCTGCTTGTGCGTTCATTTGTCGCTCCCCGTGTTCACCAACCCGTCTCGCCAGCCAACCCGATGTGCTCGCCTGCCAAGCGGTTGTTGGTGCTGAAGCCACCAGCCCGTGGGGTGCTCGCCATTGCCGGTCACGAAGATCTCAACTGTACAACATCGATACATTCGCAAGACGCCCGTGACAAGAGCCAAGGAGCTCGTTGGCCATTACTGCTGAAGAGAATCAAATCGACCTCTCATAACACCGCTCACTGCTAACTATATTCCCGTCACGGCGCAGCGTGAGCACCAACTCAGATGGTGCTGGGTGCGAATGTTTGAGCCTGTAGCTACGGCTTCAGGTGTTGTACACGATACACGCTTGCGGTGTAATTCAAATGGAGACGTGGCTGGGGTCCGGGTCTCACACCGGGACGGCTGAAACAACCAGCCACGTGTATTCCCGCACCCCCTGGGAGTCATTGTTTTCGTGTCATAACTGTGTTGATCAGAGCCATCCATAGGGTACGGCGAATTTAACTAAATTTTTTACAAGGTAAGGCCCACTGAGCTATATAGCGCTTTTCAGAAGATACCTGGTCACAAATAATAGCTCCACAAAGTGGCTTATAACGTAGAAATGAGTAGCAGCCAAATACTCTAAACGGGTGTTTCTAAATGTGGAGGGAAACCCCGGAAGGCCACGAGGAGAACACGCAGAAATATACAGCTACAGCAGCAGCAGCAGGCGTGGGGGTCAAGCCCACGACCTCCTGCACACCGGGCGAGGTCGTCAATATCTCGCTGGCGCGGCGCCACCTTTTAATTGGGGTGACTACCCCGGGCCCTGGGGTTTGGGGGGCCGCGCTTCGACGACTCCGTGTCAGATGTAACTCTTCCGCTGTCGTGTGAAGGCGTCGGTTGCGAGTGGCCTCGAGCCGTCCCTGGCAGTGGCGCAGGGGAGAGACGGTGACGAGCGGCGGCCAGTGAGTTCTTGTTGGAGACATCGGCACTGTTTTGCCCATAAATTGGACAAAAACATTACAACCACACCTGGACCGTGGCCCTCGTGTTCCTCGTGTTGTATGATTTGCCATCTTGGCTTGAGACGCGCACGAGGGATGCCCTGGGGATAAAAATCAACACTTTTGAAAGCCGCAGTTTTAATCGGTGATCTATTCCGAGACACTGAACGTTGTGACACCGGTGACGACGAGTTGAATTTCACCAAAGCCACTGCTGCTGAGAAGATCCACTTCCACAGGGCTGTGTGGTGGCTGGTGGGAGGTGGCGGGTATTTAAAACAAATGTATGTTGAGAGACAAACGTGGGAAGGAGGCGACTTGTCTGCTTATTTAGCTTCATCGACATAACTTGACGAATCGCGTCTGGTCATGAACGCGATTCACGTGGCATGTTCCGTGTAAAATAATTAAAAACTGACAGTAAGGGGGGAAGTGCTGGCCGGAAATAACCAAGAGCTCATCCACTTTCAACATCCTCATCATGCCCTCACCCCCACAGCACCCTACTTAAAAGGAGCATCATAAGTGAGCATTTTATAACTCCTAAATGCTCAATAATTTCCAGTAATCATTTGCGTGTGGTCAGGATAATATCAGGGAAGCCTTAATATGTCCTTGCGCCTCCATTACACTTTATTTGTCCTTGACAAACACTCCGACGTGATCAATAGCCCAGAACAAATATGCAGACACTTCGTGTTCTTTCTCGCACGTGTTCCTCAGTGCAAAAAGAGATGCGGTTTTTTTCACCTCCCATCGCCTACAAGGCTTTTTGGAAGTGCATTTCAGCAGCATTAATTCAATACTCTGGGTGGGTTTCGATATTCAGTGTCTGATCCGCAGTCAGGGTCGCTTGAACCAATGCTGGTGAAGTTCCAGATGTTATTGCCTATAGAGTTAGCTAACGGTTCAGGTAAGAATTGCATTGAGAGCAGTAGGCAGGGAGGCCAGTTGTGTGAAATGTTGATCTAATCATGTTCAGTTGATAACGGTTTCAGTTCAAGTTAGAACAGTTACAGTACTGCACACATTGTTTATGTGTGCCAGTGTGCACGGCGCCTGTGTGCATGCATGTGGCCTCAACGTGCACATAACCTGGCACAAGCGCCGTGCTGACGTCACCACCACTTAGTGGCGAATGGCGGTTGTTGTTGTACGTGTCAACACGTGTACATCGCCTTTGTGCGTGTGGTGGTACTGGCCACCACCCACCCCCGAAAGCGCCGTGCCGACCTTCATAGGTGCTCGCTAACAGCACTTTCCCCATCAGTGTGTTAAGGCTATACGGGGGATCTTTGTCTTTATACTGCTCGCTAACATCGGTGCTCGTTAACAGCACTTGCCCAATCAGTGTGTTAAGGCAGACCGCATTGTGTCCTTGCATTGCCGCCAGACACACGGTGGCTAAACTGGAACGCATCTCGAGAAGCTGCACAGAATTAGTGGACGTGTTTAATTTTAGGGAGGCGGTCACTCACAGGCAGCGAATAAAGCAGCAATGGAGTTCCATGTTGCAGTGACACCAGAGGACAGGTGGTAGCGAGCTTGCACCGCGCTTGTGAGCATAAGAATGGAAAGTGGGGAATTGTTCCACATGCCGGATGCCAACCGCGTGGTTGGCAATCCCTTTTGCGTTGCTCCTTTCATCAGTCCTCTCGTTCACGTGGATTGTACCCCTGCAAGAGTGGCCTGGGTCTCCAAAATTACCAAAAATATATAAAAAAACATTAAATTAAGCACAACAATTAAGCAAATATAAATCGGAGTGAAAACATCCACGTTACAGAAGAAATCGGAGACTGTTTACAAACAATGTCAACTCACCTTGTCCGGTCCGCCACCCCTCTCCTGGGTGGTGACCAGGGACGCGATGACTCCGGCCTCCCGGCGCTCCGCGTCGCCCGTGCGTCCCTCCTTCGACCGTTCGAGCTCCCAGGACTCGCTGGATGAGCTCTCGGAGCGAGACTTTTGGACCGAGGTCCACGACATCAAGGAGAGCCGGGGCAACGACGAGGCCCTCATCAAACCCGCGGACGGTGAGGCGGCCCGCTGCAGCGTGGGTACCACTGTGGCCGTGTCGGAGATGCCGAGGCGCAATTTCGTGTTGTCACAAACACAAAGATACCATAGAGGCTTCATGCACTTTAAGGGGAAGTTCTGTTAGCGAACACATAACATGCACCTGTAAACACAACTACAGCCGGCTAGGTGCAGCTTGAGGCCATTTGAAGTGTAAACCGCTCGCAGGTAGTTTGAGATGACTGGCAGATGCGCCACCAGTGCTCCCAGCTGGAGTTTGTGTAACAAAGCCGTGCGGCGTGCCAACCGCTGCACCACCACTCCCACACACCTTCTCACGTGAATGTGTGTGCCTCCCCCCTCTCTCCCTGCCCCTCGCGTGTGCGCGTCTCTCACAGAGGAGGAGCAGCAGGCGGACTGGTTGCACGAGACGGGCCTTTCTACGCTCGTCGTGCAGCAGCAGCAGCAGCAGGCGGGGGGGGCCGTGGCCGAGGGCCCTGGGGGCTGCGCCGACGATGGCGGCGCTGCCGCCGCCGCGGAAGAGGAGCGGGCGCTGGACGCCGAGGCGCTGCTCGCGACGCTCACGCGCACCCAGGCAGCCGCCGCCATCCGCCGCATCAACACGTACACGCAGACGATGCGGCGCAAGAACAAGCAGACGGTGCGCGACGTGCGCGACATCTTCGGCAGCAATGTGGTGAGCAGCGCGGCGTCGCCGCGGACAAACCGCAACCTTGCTGGTGGTGCCCGATCCCTCGCCAGCTCTTCAGATGTCCGGACAGTGTGGTGTCGCCAAACGAACTCCCAACAAGTATTTCGATGCGGTCGGAAAGACCGTCCATATACTTCGCTCGGCGAGAACGGGCGTTAAACGTGGTGAACGGACACAGGACCCGTGATGCCTACTTGGCATCGCGTCATTCGGGCCGGTGCTAGGGGAGTGCTGGCGTGGGCACTGCATCAACAAATGTCCCTTTGTCCTCCAAGTTTTCTCTCCTCCTCAGCGGTGAATCACTGTGATGGTGGCTTCTCCCACACCACAGCTCTGCTGGCCCCCCAATCCGAGAGGAGCTGGGGCCCGGCGTGATGTCACTCAACAGTTTACCTGGCACTACCCCTCGGGAACTCGTAAAGAATCTTCACTCACCTGGAACGACTCCTAAATCGACATCGCATCCTCCTCTCACAAATTCTGTCGATTTGTCACTTGGGAAAACGGCAAAGTAACGAGATTGAGCTTGATCGCCGATTACCGAGATGGTGTCACGGGGTGCAGCGCAGTGGCCGTGCTCTGTGCGGCTCGTGCACACGACGCTGCCTTGCTACTCGCGTGACGGAACGCTCGCCGAGAACGCTCGCCACGTGGTGGGGATTTGCCAAGCCACTCGTGAGCTCATCCTGTTGATGGCCTCTTACCTGCAGGTTGAGCCAAGTTAATAACGCAATTAGATGGGCTGGGAATTCCAGGGGCTGTAGGCTTGGGCTGTACGGCGATCAGGAAATGGCAGTACAGAAATGGCTTCTTGAATCCATTTGCGTGGAGCTTTAAACATTATAGTTCCTTGTTGACGTGGGCATTATCCAAGTTTGGGGCTTGACATAGTCGCGTTCACTCGGCCAACGTGCCCGTCGTACTTCCCTGGTCTAGGACTTTGCACAAATCGGTGCTGGTGGTCTCGTAACCGTCGGAACTTCTGGTTCGTGGCTTCTCAACCTGTCCATGTGACAACCCCACAAGGCTTTTTCTGGGCCTGGTCTCCACCAAACGAACGGTTCCCATCGCCTGAGGTGATTTGTTGGTTTGGAGCTTCCAGACGAACGCGCCACACGAGCCGCCTGCCATTCGCTCGCTCTCACCGCTCGCTCTCCCCGCTCGCTCTCACCGCTCGCTCGGCACCGCTTATCTCCTCAAGCCACGCACGCCGCTTCCTCTAATGGCGCAGTAAATTATCGTGGCTCGCAGCCCGGAGAGACGAGGTGCCGTCGTAAAAAAAAAAAAGACTGGGAGGAATAAATAATGTAAAATGCATAATAAACATCTCGCGGCCCCTTCCAGATGAAAGTAAATCATAAAATAAAAAAAACTTTACCAGGAGCCACACAAAGTAGGATTCTGCTTTGGGATATTTGCCCAAAGGTTTCGGGATAGGAATATTTGAAATGCACACACACCGTCATTAAAAATAAATTAAGTGGCTTTTAAGAATTTGAAGTGGGATTTTAAATTGGATAGGCCTCCAACTCGAATCGACCGCTGGCAATGGCAGGGGCCGTTTCCTGTTCACCGATAGGCAGCAGCAGCAGCAATGGTACTCGTGCGCTTACACAAAGTCCAATATGAAATCGAAGAACTAAGATCAAAAAGCCTTGTGTGCTTGGGCCACAATCTGAAGGTTTTCAAAGGTTGACTCAATGCATCGTCATCTTTTCCCGGAGTCGATCAAATTAGTACCACTTTGTGAAAACATAATTTGTGATTGTCACGTGGAAGCACTTGCGCTCGCTGTAGGAATGCAGAATTTCCACTGCAGGCTCGGGGCCCTTGAGTGGTAGAAATGAAAGCTTAAGAAGTGCAAGGGACGCAGGGGCGTGGAAGCCGTTGGTAGTTGGGGGAGCGACCTGTTGCACACCCTTCGATGCCCAGATCCCCGTCTCCCTTTGCTCCCCTTCCTTGCTCACTCGCCGTGATGACACCGCCCCCGAGTGGCGACAGTAACGAACTCCAGTCCCAGACTTGAGCCAACAGACACGAGTGTTGCCCCAAAATAAAACAGAAACTAAACTTTTTATTTTACCAGGTAAGGCCCACTGAGCTATATAGCTCCTTCAGAAGCAGCCTGCCTACAAAGGATAGCTCAATGAAGTAGTTTATCATGTGGAAATTTATAGCAGCCAAATACTCAGCGTGTGTTGATTTTAAATGTGTCACCCTCGGCGGCTCCTGGGTCTCGGTGCGATGTGGAGTTGGGTTCTCGCGAATCGTAGGCGACGCTGTCTTTTCTCTGTTGTCGGGCAGGACACGGACGGGATGGGAATGAGCTGCATGCAGCCCAGCTCGCAGGACGAGCTGTCGGACGACGGTGAGTGATCGCGCGTCCTGCGTTGTGCTCGCTCCGTCGTTCGCACGAGCCGGCAAGCGGCCGCGACGCTCTGCTCCGCCCGCCAGCTTCCCCGGGCACACGGAGATAATTTGGATCGGAGCTAACCCGTCACGTCGGCATTGGGTGTAAAGTTAACCAACCCATGAGGAGGAGGACGGACAGCTCGAGAAACTACGGAGTAAGAGAGTAGAACTCTATAATAACGGTTATAACTGCTGGCGTCGGTGGCGCTTCTGAAGAAATTTCGTAAATTGCAGGTAACGGCCGACGTGGTCCAACTTAATACAGCATCGGTGAATGCGTACGCAATGTTAAATCAAGCCGGTAAAAAGAAAAGTGTAGGAGCCGTTTGATGATTGTGGTTGTCTCGTACCAGACTCGGCGGCAGCAGCGGCGGCGCTGCAGAGGGAACGGTCACGCAACTCGGTGGTGTCGGAGACAGACATCATCTGTGACGTGCCCTACTCGGAGGAGGCATCGCAGGGGCGGCACAAACACCGGGGCGACGCCGCCGCTGCCACCACACCGAACGTGAGTCCACCACGAGTCTTCCCTGTGCCCGCCGTGTGTGGGGTTTGGAAGTCCAACGTTCCATGTTGTAGGTGTGAGCAACACAAATGTGGCGATGCGCATGTGCTTGATGACTTTGGAGCGGTTTCCTTGAGTTCCGTGACCAAGGGGAGAATGTTAGATTAAATCCTAAAAGTCATGTGTCGACTGTACAGCAGCTGCCGGATTTAGCAGAAGTTAGATAGCGCTGGCGACGTCTGGTGGTGGCATTTTTCATTCTGCCCACGATTTTAAAATTAAGGATCGCCAATTTGATTCCCGCTGAAACATTGCCGAACAGACCCCAAGTCTATAATACACATTTTTTGGGTTAGATCGCATGAATATAAATGTGTCGTTAAACCCGCCACCACCCGACACAGACAATTAGTAAGGTTTGTCACGTTAACAGAACGTGCCAATTCGTTACTAGTACAGCACACCGGTGTGTTGGAGAGTAAATCCGCAACATTCTTTGGGTCTTTCGGTAAAGCCAAGTATCTATCTATCTACGTGGCTTTACCAAAAAACCCAAAGAATATGAATTCCTGCAGTCACGAAAGCTTGAAGTCAAAATTTAAATCCACAACATTTACAATCCGAGTACGACGTTTCACCAGTAATTACAACTAGCATCAGGTGACAGCCAGATTTATGGAGAAATCCTCCTTTTTCGTTCCTGAAATACAGGGATAGATGTGATGGCGTCACTTGTGAGCGCCTCACGTGCGAAGACCCCAAGTGTCGCCACTGGGTTTGAGGTTTCTCGTGATGTACCGCACGTTGTAGCACCGTTGTCATGGATGTCGCACTGCCTCGCATCGCGACGTAGCCGCACTAAAATCCCTGAAGTGACGCGGCCACGCTGCTGGGCAGCGTGGGACCTGCAGCCAAGGTGTCGCCACAAGACGAGAGCAGCTACTACGATGGATGCAGTGGCGCGCACGACCACTCGCCGGGGCCTCGTGACGCCGCTCGCCATCTCCCCTTGCAGGCGGCGGCGGCGACGGCGCCGGCGGTGACGGCGGCGACGCTGCTGCAGCACCAGCTGGGCGTGACGCGCATCGGAGACCTGTCTCCCGAGGACATGCGCAAGGTGCACCGCGTGGCGCTTATCGAGCTCGCCGCCTTCTTCGATGCGCTGCACATCGACTTCACGCGCAACAGGCCCGTCAAAGTGCGCGCCAAAGGTGCTCACCCCACGCCCCCGTGCCCGGACGCCTCTCCGCTCACTTCCCTGTCACTCTCTTAACGCTCCGAATATGGCGGTGACAGTGAACACGAGAGTTGTTACCGGTGACGGCACGAAATATATCGGTAGAATACTGGTCGCCGCACATTGAGGAATGTCCAGAGCAGTAACCACTGTTGACGTTCACCCGAGAAATGAGGTGAGCTGCTCGAGCAGAGGTGTTGTGGTAATCGGCATACCGGACGTGCCGTAGAGGGGCGACGGTTAATTGCAACTTTCCGGCACTGCGGCTTTAAACAGCGGCACAAGTTTCTTGAATCTCCGCTCCTGCCACCTGTGCCAACCTCGCAGTGAGCATGGGCACAGCACCATGGGAGTCCACCGGGTCGCACGTGGTGGGGTTAACTGTGGAGGATGCCCATCTCTTCCAACCAAGGAGACCAGATACCCTCGAGTGGAGGCTGTTCCACCGGCAGTGGTCTCAATTTTAGGCCTTAAATTTACCTTTCAAACCACGGTCGTTTTTCTCTTGACATTCACCCGTTGATAGCCCCATGCTTGCCAGAGACACGATCTACAAGACTGACTGCTGTTATCCGTGCCAGGCTTCAAATGCAAGGCCTCAGGGACACGACATTTCTCTTGTTCCTGTTGTTCATCTCTCCGCTCGGCAACCGTGAAACTTATCCCAACGTCCCTTTTCCTGGAGGAGGCCTTCTGACCTCGCTCTGCGTCATTCGCTGCCATGCGGCGTCTGCGGGCTGGTATTTGGTGATTGCAATAAAACCAAAACGTCCCCCTTGGCGCCCGTGCCGATCGTTTGCGGTAACGGCGTCTGCATTGTCGGGGCCGCTTCCGCAACCCCCGCGCCGGTCTGCCAACCTCTCAAACCATCCTGGCGCCTGCCCTCAACGAAGCAATTTCACACACGGCGAGATGATGGAATTTTGCCTTTCTCGACCTGAAATGTCTCGGCTGCGACGTTACAGGCTCGCCCGAGTTGTTATTAAAGAGCCGTCGCTGCGATGCCGCGTGGCCTGGACCCCGCGGACGAGGTCGGAAGGAGCTGGGGTTTGGTGGCGTAGAACGTCAAAGCTGGCACACCGTTGCCCTGGTGCGCACTCTGCCCATCGCCTCTCTCCCGTTTCTCAACCGGTGGCAGATTCGCGGCTCTTTGGGGTTCCTTTGAGCACTCTGCTGGAGCAGGACCAGAAAATTTCGCCGGGTGTCAAAGTGCCGCTCTTTCTTCAAGAGGTGAGTGGCTCTCAGAAGTGGCTGGGAGTCTTGGAGAGGTCGGATCGCTGAGCCGGCACCGCTGGGTTCAAATCCAGGTTTTGCTGCCTGTGATTAAACAGAGTTCTCAAGTGTAGTATAGTAGTTGGTGGTCTCAGCCCAGTTACCAATGACTGCACCCGGAAAATCCCATCACAATAAAATGTGTTATTCATTTAATCTGACAATTCTATTTCGGTGATTCAAATCTTACGCGCAGTGTACGTTATTCTCATGTGCCGAGCGGGTGAAATTGCTGCCCTCTGCTGTGTGGACGAGAGAACACTTGAAGGCATCTTGAGGAGTAGTTCTACCAGGTACACTTCTGTGGCCCCCATTCTCTAAACAACGGCTTGTCATATGATACGACAGTGATATGACGATCTGAATTAAGATTTGGAGGAAAAATTGTGAGCGGTTTTATTCCGGAGCCTCTCATCGACTCATTACACCGAGCACGCACGTACGCACGTACGCACACACTCATGCGGCTCACCGCGGTCACCCCCACCGGCTCTCGTGTGTGTCCCCGTGCAGCTGTTGACGCACCTGGAGCAGACGGGGCTGGACACGGAGGGCATCTTCAGGATCCCCGGATCATCGTCGCGTATTAAGGTAGCGTGGCCCGCAGGCGACGGGCGTGGTGCACGTAGCATCGCCCCCATCGAGGAGCCCGATCCATCGTCAACCATCATCGTCATCCAACACCGCGACATCATATGCAGCTTCGCGGTCAGGATGCATCGTCCTTCGCATTGTCATTCTGCAGTGGTCATTGTTGTCATTTCACGATGATGATCATCGTATTCATTGTCATCGCCATCTCTGTCCACGATGTAGTATAATGATAGTAATATTCATCATCCATTCCTATCATTGCCATCATCATGGTCGTCGTAGTCATTAATCCGGTATTGTATCTGAGTGTTCAAGTTCCAACAATTATGGGTTTAAAAAGGGACATCTTAGACCTCGTCCAGAGGACAACGATCAGAGGGTGTTCAGGGATAACAAAATGTCTCTATAACATCAGAGAAGATGGTCTGAAACTGGGGATCGCACTGCCAGAAGCAGATCGGCCGTAGCCAGAGCCGATTGCCGTGGAAGTCGGCCCAGCACCGACTAATTGGAGTCCCTGAGCCACGTGGTCAAGTGAAAGTCGAGTGAAGTCTGAGCCAATCGAACTGAGGAGTTGCTATTTTTTCTATCTACGTGACTTTACCGAAAGAACAAGAGAGTATGGATTCCTGCAGTTACGAAAGCTTCAAATCAAGATGGTTGCTATGCTGCCCGGGTGAACGGCCCCTCGCGGCGATCGTTCAGCTGCGTCCGCTGCCTCGCCTTCCTCCCTTGCCTCCCCCCTCACCTCCCCCCTCACCTCCTCCCTCACCTTCTCGCTCGCCGCCGGTCGCTCCTGTTCCTCTCCCTATGCTCAGAGTCTGCGGCAGGAGCTGGAGGCCGGATTCTATGACGGCGCCGTCACCTGGGACGACGTGAGGCCACACGACGCAGCCAGCCTCCTCAAGCTCTTCATCCGCGAGCTGCCGGCGCCGCTGCTCACCGCCGAGTACCTCACCGCCTTCACCAGCGTGGAGAGTACGCGCGCACGCACCGACGGGCAGTTGTGCGCACAGACACAAGTGCGCTCGCGCGATTGCACACACGGGAGTACAATCGTGCACAGGCGCACAAACAAACTCGCACACGAACATGCAACAACCGCCATTCGCCACTAAGTAACGGTGATGTCACCACAGTGATTGTGCCAGGCTATGTGCACGTTGAGGCCACGTGAAGTGTCGAACGCCCGCCAGCAGGAGGTCATGGGGCAGACCCAGGTGCCATGGGTCGACTGACTGAGATGACTGGCCGATGCACCACCTGTGCCCCCTACTGTGCCGCCTTGCTGTGTTTTAGCCGCCAGGCGCTCTGCTCGTTGTTGTGAGCGTCGCTCCTCCGCCCTCCGTTGTTGTTGGACGACGACTGCCTCCAACTGCCCAGCAGCGTCTTTCACGAGCCTCCTGCACAGAGGCCGATCTTGACACCGCTGGTCCCAGTCATTGGCAAGTCCACTCAGCTCCACGTCCTCTTGTACCACATCACTCCATCTCTTCTCTAGCCCATGCCGTGCCCGTTTAGCCCCCTCTATCCGGCCGAACAAAATCTGTTTAGGCATGCGGTGGCTGGGCATGCGGGCTACATGACCCAGCCAACCGCAGCCTTGCCTGCCGGAGCTCACCGATGGAACTTTGTCCAGATCTTTCAGGGATTTGTGAGCTCCTCACACAATCCAGCCTGGTTAAACCCAGGATGGATCGTAGGCAGGCCAGCCTAAATATTTCTAACCGGCGAAGATGTTCCATTAGGGGGTTCCACATTTCGCAAGCGTAGAGAAGGGAGGGCATGACGGTGGCCGAGAAGACCTGAAGTTTAGTGTGGAGCGACAGACCAGATAGCTTTCTACACAGCGTTACGCAGCCAATAAAAAGATAATGCCGCTCGACTTATTCGAAGTGAGACCTCTACTGTTAAACCGAAGCCGGTCATGAGCACACTGCCCAAGTATGGGGGAAACTGCCCACTCTCCGCAACTGCCCCATCACCAATTGGGAGTTGTGAGGTGGAGTGTCTGATGGTACAACATACCCAAGGTGCTTAATTTTGGTGGGGCTGATGGTAAGGCCCCACCTCTTAGTGGCACGCTCCAGGTTCAGCAGCAGCGCCTCTAACTCCTCCTCTGAGTGAGCAGCAGTCACCAGATCATCGGAATACATAACATGGTTGACCAATGGGGAGCCATCCCTTGACCGCACCGGGCATCGATCAGCTTCCCATTGTATTTGTACCAGATGGATATTCCTCCGGTACAGCCATCGAGGGCTTCACGAACTACGTGGTTGAAATAGATGTTAAATAATGTGGGAGCCAGAGGACATCCTTGTCGCACCCTAAGGTGAACAGGGATTGGCTTCGACTCCCGGCCCCGTAGTTTTACCCGCTCACCATCATGAAGGTCCTTAATGTTTGAATAGAGAGTCAGGGACTCCGAAAGCACGAAGAACAACCCAGAGCTCAGGCCTACTCATGGTATCATAGGCCTTGACCAGGTCAATAAAGCAGAGATGTAGGTCTTGTTAGAATTCCCTACACTTCTGCTGTAGCAGACAGACATAAAATATGGCATTTATGCAGGACTGCCCTTTCCTGAAACCGCATTGGGGCTTCGCGAGCCTCTCCTCAGCGTTCCTGGCAAGGCGATGTTGAACAATCCTTGTCAGGATTTTTCCTGGCACACTGAGGGTTGAGATGCGCCTGTAGTTGTTAGTCTGTGCGGTCCCCCTTATTAAAAAGGGGGACCACCAGAGCATCCTTCCAATCCTGCGGAACCCGTCCAGTGGTCCAGACTGTTTTTATGATGTCATGTAGGGCAGTCTGTGCACAAACGCCACCCTCCCTCAACATTAAGCTGGGGAGATCATCTCTACCCGGTGCTTTTCCTGGTTTCAGACTCTGGAATCGCCTTCAGTAATTCCTCAGCAGATGGCAATTCAGCCAGCCACTCACAGGCGGTGACTACTTCTTATAATATTTGAGGCACCGCATCCTCAGCAGGGTCATCCCCAATTTGCCCCATGATGTTTTTCAAGACCTCACAGAAATGCTGAGCATATCAGCACACATGCACACACACACACACGGAGAAATTCTCATTCATTGTTCGTGCTCCAGACGTTGTGTGTCGTTGCTGTGGGGCAGTCGTAATTTTGGAGGGGTTCTCTTTCCCCCGCGTCTCGTCAGGCTACAAGCGGGCTGACTCCATCACTCGCCGAGCGAGATGATTTGGCACGTAATCTTACATTACTGTTATTACAGCAATGTGTTACAGTTTATTGTCTCTTACTCTAAAGCAGAGACATTAATAAAAATATTGAAATCGAGATAGGAAATCAACTGCTGCATAAAAAAGTTAAATCGGCATCTCGACCGACAGCTCTTTTTGAGGAATGTGCATCTTTTATAGCCGGCCTCTTGGGAAGTCTCCACGTGGGGTGTGGGTTTTGGTTGAACGGGGCCCAGGAAAGGGCCATGCCCTCGCACCGCGGCGCCGATCGTCAGTGCCGCACTTCGGCTCCTCGTCCAATAACCGCGGCGGGTCTTTTTTCTTCTTACTTTTTTATCCCCTTCATTTTACAGAAATTGAAATTCGAAAGCAAAGAATCCGAGCTCTCAACCTGCTCATCATCCTGCTGCCCGCAGCAAACCGAGACGTGCTCAAGGTGAGCGTTTTGCCATCCGTCACGGCCGACGGCCGCTCTCCCGCGGTCTGCATTGCGGTCCTGGCCGAGGGCCCGATCGGTCGGGTGAAGCCTTCGCTACCGATCGCGCCGCCGGTGCCGTGCGACCAACGATCCGTCGCACCTCTCGCGGAGCGGGGCAACGCTTCGTGTTGGGAAATGGCGCTCGTGAACGGATATCGCAGAGCTCCCCCGAGTTCCCTTCAAGTGATCTCGGGTTCAGTCGCCGGGGGGCAGCACTCTCCAATTCGCCGTGCCACTGAGAGCAATGCATGCCCCCCTCCCTATGACACCGGCAACCGAGCAGCGTTTGACTGGTCACACCTGCTGAGGACAGTCATAGAAGTCAAAACCAGTCAAGTTTGCTGCTAAAACACAATGGTTCAAGGGCACATTTTAAAGTTAGTCAAGTCAAGTTTTTTTTTTTTTTTAACCGGTGAGAACTCGAGACACCAAGACAGTAATTTGCAAGAGTGATCTGGGTAATGGACGCAAGTGGATTTTTAAATCGACATGACAATTGGAATCGACAGATCTGAAATCGCTGAAACCCTCAAAAGCACTAAGATACCAGTCGGCAACATCAGTAAGGATGAGCGTTTTGAGTTATATAAATTAATAAAGAGGGATGATATTGTCATCCTCTCAGCCGACAAGGGTAATGCCACGGTCATCATGGACAAACACGTACAATAACAAAATTCTGGACCTACTTAATGATGGTAGCTACACAAACATTAAAAGAGATCCCACCAACAGCCTCGTTACAAAAACTAACAGTATCATCACTGATTCAGCTTCATTAATTGAACAGACCAAACGGTTCTCCTTAAAACCTTCTGCTGCTAGACCACCCAGATTATATGGCTTGCCAACAATCCATGAAGAAGGCACACCCCTTCGTCCCATCGTCTCCACCATTGGCTCACCCAGCTACAAATTGGCCCGATATCTGTCTGAGAACTTGCAGCCATTCACTGATAAGACCACCTCAGCTGTACTTAACTCAGCTCACCTGGTATCGTCAATTAAAGATATCTCACTGTCCCCAGGTTATTTTTGCTCCGTAGTTTCGATTTAGTTTCTTTGTTCACCAAAGTTCCTGTGCCCGAAACCATTGCAATAATTAAATATTTGTTCCAACAAGGACTGAATGCTGATGTACTCGCCATGGTGAGACACTGCCTCACCAATACACACGTCACCTGGAATGGAACATTCGACAAACAAACTGAAGGCACCCCAATGGGTTCTCCCTTATCTCCGGATGTAGCCAAGATTTTCATGGAAAAATTTGAGATGGACGCCATCCAGGCATCCACTCTACGCCCGTCCTTGTGTAAGAGGCACGTGGATGACACGTTTGTCATCTGGCCACATGGCCGACCGACTCTGAACCAATTCCTCAACCACATACACCCAGCCATCAAATTCACCATGGAGGTAGAAAAGGATGGCATGCTACCTTTCTTGGATGTCCTAATCAAAAAGAGACGTGATGGTTCAATGAGCCATTCTATCTACAGGAAAGTAACCCATACTGATGCCTACCTAAATCCCGATTCCCACCACCACCCATCCCAGAAGAATTCCCTCATCAAAACGCTGCACCATAGAGCTCAATGTATCTCCGACCATGAAGACCTAACCAGTGAACTCAAACACATACACCAAGCTCTCAAGGCGAATGGATACTCTGACTACACAATCCGCAAAGCCATCACTCCAACCGTGAGGAGGGAGCCATCTGAGGATCCAATCAAAACCATCACCTTGCCATAACATAGCAGGGGTAACCAAAAATATTTCCAAAATCATGAACAAACACAAGATCCAGGTCCAATTTAACACAGTACATAAAATTCGTGATCTGATCCCATCTGTGAAGGATGTCTTCCCTGACATGCAATATCCCGGCGTCTCCAAACTAAGCTGTGTCTGCGGCAGTAGTTACATTGGGGAAACTAAGCGACATGTCTCGGACCGTGTCCGTGGGCAGATTGGAAACACAGTAGGACCAATACTTCTGCCGTGGCTGATCATTATTTTAATGCGGCTGGCTCACACGAATTTCATTTCTCTAAGACGATGGTACTTTGCAAGCCCACTGGCTATCAACAAAGATTTGTTCATTAAGCCATCCAAATTTACAGGCACAGACACAATTTCAACCGAGAGGATGGTTGTAAGCTCAGCAATCATTGGAAAGATGTCATCAACCACTTTGGGTCATGACTTGATTTGTGTTTTCTTGTCAACATCCACCGTTAGCAGTGTGGGTGTGTGGAGCGAGGTGCAATGCTTTGATTGGTGTAGACCTACTGCCTGTGTCGGGGCTTTCTCCTACATTAACATTAGCTGCCCCGCCCATCTCTAAACCTTCAGAGGCTAACCTCCCTATTCCTGATGACGACCGCTTGTGTTGCGGTCAAAACGTCGTAATATTTTTAGATCACTTTATTTTAGATTTTTTTTTCTATCTACCGAAAGAACCATAGAATATCAACTACTTTCTTGTGGTCGAATACTCGGGCCCTTTAAGACTCTGCTGGCGCCCCCATATCCTGCCTCCCGAAGGTAGGAAACCCCCTACAAGCCACGCCCAGAATAACGCAGCTGATTATGCCAAACGACGCCCATTACCTTCCATCCAGCAGCACACGTGAGAACATTCGAGACATTTTTCGTTGAGTATTCAAAATCGATAATCGGCAAAGCAAGATTACAATCTGGCAGGGTGGCTCAGCGGTAGAGGTGAGCGGCTCGCAATTGGCAGGTCGAGATTCAAATCCTGGATTGGGGGGGGGGGGGTTTGACTCGGCCCATGATCCATCTGGGGTCGATAAAATGGATACCACTTTTTGGGACGATCAACAGTGGTTGTTTTATCGAGACACTTTTATATTGGAATGTGGAATTCCAATCACTGCCTAAACGGGAGAATTGATTGCAATCAAACTAATGGGAGGCTGCTGCCACCGCCTGTCCTGCAGGCCATCCTGGAGCTGCTGCTGAAGGTGTCCGAGGCGAGCACGGCGACGCGCATGGACCTGTGGAACGTGTCTCTCATCATGGCGCCCAACCTCTTCATGTCGTCGGGCAGCGCGCTGCTGCAGCCGCTCAACCGCCAGTTCGCAGCGGCGTACGCGGGGCTCGTGCGCATGCTCGTCAAGGATCAGCGCAAGCTCTGGATCGTAAGCACCCTCGTTGACACGCTCGCCGCGGGGATCGGTGCCGCCGCGTGCGTGGACCTTAACGCACCGGCGCGTGGTACGCTCGTGCATTTTCGGCTGCCTTTACCTCCCCGTTGCTGATGTTTGTAACCATTGCACTACGTACCAATTTAAGGTTGAGTCGAACTTGGAAAGGAACCGCAATTTTTAAAACATTCGCCACCTTTGGGCTACGAATTGCGGCGCGTCGTGGGAAGGAGAATATCTTACGTTGTCAGAAAAGCAGAGAGCTGCGTGTGGATTCATCGTAGTATTGAATCCTTCTCTTTACGGGCGCTCAACCGGCAAAACACGGGAGCTTTAATGTTCTTCGAAGGCAGATTTTCAACGACAGCAGCTATCTCCTCAACAAGTGAGCCTGACACTGTTGATGAGACGCTGTATATCAAAACCAGTCCAGAGTTTGCTTTCTTGAAACAATGCTGCCGAGGTGGTGCGCTGCCGGGGTTTATTTTTTTACAGGCGACATGGATACATGAAGGGGACTCTACTTATTAATATTGTTCGTCAGTAAGAAGAAAACGAGGACAGATGGCAGCCCTAGTCGTCGCCACCCGCTCGTGTGCCGCGCCGCCCTTAATGAGCGCGAGCCTCGCTCGTCCCCGCACGCACGGCGAACCAGCTATGTCGTGCGCTCGCAGATTCCGCCGTTCCTGCTGAGGCAAGTGCGGGAGCTCAACGATGCCAACAAGCGGCAGCCTCAGAAGGAGCGCGGCGTGAGGAGATTCCTGCGCATCGCCCGCATCGACAAGGACAAGAAGCCGGAGAGGCGCGAGGTGAGGCCATTAAAAATAACGAACCCATCGCTTCCCGCGGCACGCCACCCGGCACCTCCCCCCCCCCCGCCCGTTGTATCTGCCCCCCCTCCCATTCGCGCTGTTTGATGGCAGGGTAACTGTTGTTGTTTTGTGTGGAGCAGGCCGGCTGTGGAACGTTGCGTGTGTACAAAGTATTTTAAAATGACGAGGGAACTGTGTGCTGACTTTTGAAACGTGACCATGAAAGCAGAGTTGCTCTCCAAACGCGTTTTTAGAAAATTGCCTTGACCAATGCGTCTTGCTCCCAATGGTTTGAGACAAAACAGCGACTCCCGTTTCCAAATAAGTAAACGGACTTCCTCAGCACGCACAGCTGCCTGCTGGCTCTGGGCCGCAGCTAATCGCACAGCGCGTGTGGGCTTCTGATGGTGTATGGGTGTGCGTTGTTGTGGTGTCGTGTACGCTCGCTCTGCACTGATGTATGTGCATCAGCCTGGGCGTGCTACACTGTGTTGCTACGTGTACATGTGTGTGTTTTGCGCATTTTCCTATGTCTGCTATGCACATGCAATGCATATTATACTGTGTGCGCTTGGTGTGCTTTGCACACTGAGAGTGAGCATGCTGAGTGTGTGTGCGCTATGTGCATGCATAAATGCTATATGTGTGTGCTATACTGTGCGCATGCTTTGAGTGTCCGTTCACACTGGCTGCTATACACACACACCGTGTATGCTGTGTGAGTACGGTGTTCAAGCTAAGTGTATTTTGTTGAACCAGGTAGGAACTAAAGGGACCAGGATTAAGCAAATGTAAATCAGAGAAAAAACACAATTTCACGTGCATGCTGCATGCACTATATGCTATGTGCATGCAGTGATGTGTGTGTGTACATGTGGGTACACACACCGGTTAGCACGCTGTGCTTAGGAACCCAGCGACCCGAGTTCGATTCCCGCTCGCGGCCAACATTGGTGACGAATATCTGACCGGTTCTGGGGCTCCCCTCGGGCATAAACATCGCCAATTGGGAGACAAAGGCGGCCGGGTGTGGTGCTGGCCACCCACCCCCTCGTCTGCCGCGCCGGCCTTCACAGTTGCTGCTCGCTAACAGCACTCGCCTCGACGGTGCGCTAAGGCTACGGGGTTGGGGGGGGGGGTCTTTGTCTGTGTGCGTGCAGGTGGAGCCGCTGTCGTACACGATTCGCGTGGCGGCGCCGCCACTCCTCTCCAAGCTGCCCATGGCCGTGCAGCTCGACGAGGGCGTGCGAGCCGGGGACCTCGTCGCGCGCTTCTTCGCCGACAGGTGCGGCGACGCCTCCGCCTCGCCTGCCCATGGGGGGCGGGGAGGGGAGGAGAGGCCCATGGGAGTCGGGGGTGCAGGGAGGTGCCATTGTTCGTTAGCGTCTCCTCGCCTCGGTTGCTGTTTGGTCTTCTCCCAAATTATACTACGATTTTATTATGATGCTAATATTGGTACCCGTTCCTGTCAACTTGGCTCGTCAATTTGTCCTCCTGAGAGCGGACTTTGGAGGTTGCATGTCGCATGTGCAAAACCTGTGGGGTCTAGCAGAAGGAAGGTAGTGATGAACTTTTGACCTTGAGTGACCGTGGGACATTAATTTCGCTTGCCGAGTGCCAGTCCTGCTTTGGCTGCTGCCTCACCGCTTGTGGCTCCGCTGTGGTGGCGTGGTGCCGAGGTGCCGTGGTGCGGTGATGTAAGAGATGCCAACTGTGTTTTGCCCACAGCGAGGGGGGAAAAATCGTGGAGCACCAGGAATATTGTCTGCACGAGATGGGCGGCAACATCGGTGAGCCTCTTCCAAAACGGTCCATCCAACAAATGGGCAGCTTTCTCATATCGTGATAAGAGTAGGCCAAACACCATGTCGCGAGGACTGTCCTGCTCCCTCGAGTGGACCATCCTTCCAGTAGCAGTGTCACGACCAAGCAATTGCAGAAGGCTTTCTCTGGTGAAGGACGATCGGTTGCAAAGACAATACCTACATTTTCAAGGTGTCTTTGTTTGCATGTTTTACCACAGGCGCGTGCGGTTAATGCAGATTTGATGCCTCGCAAAAGGTTTCTATTTGGTGTTTGAATAACACCTTGAAAGGGTAAAGCCTATACTTGTCAATTTGATACCACCAACAAGGGTCCCATGAACCTTTAAAGGACTTTCACTGACCCTCTAGTAATATCATTGCAGTTTCTGTATTGAAAGTGATGGAAGTCACCCCATCGTGGCATCACCGGGGTGCTCCTGCGAGTCGCTTTAAGTGTCCTCTTCTCATGAAGGAAGATTTAAACTCATGGCCGACGGTGAGGGATGTGTAGCAGAGCTGTGTAGCTACAAGATGAGAGCCATCTGTTTTGTGGTGGGAGTGAAATGTTGATGTGGAGGGGCTTGAGGGCGACGTGTTTGAAAGTCATCGTGTTTTACGACAGTCCCTTTAAGCACGAGTTATTGCGCTCGGAATGTCATTTTTCACGGTGTTCATTTCAAATAAACAATCTTAATTTAAATGTAAATTACCGCCTTTCAGAGGCATGATGGGAAACGGTGACTCCACCATGGTGTATGTCCCCGGTGAGGCACGCAGACACGCGCCAAACTCTCTTACCCCTCTCCCCGCCGCGTCTCCCCGTACCCCATCCCTTATCTCCCGTGTCCCCCCTGCCCTACAGGAGACCGCTGCTTGGACTCGGAGACCCACATGAGGGCCCTGTACGAGGCCAACCCGCACGCCGACTGGGTCATCAAGCCCAAGGCGAGCGCGTAACGCCGACCTCTGGACCCTCACGAATCGGGGACCCCTTTGCCACGGGAGGGGGCGGAGGGCACAGCACCACCTCCAGGAGCCTCCTTTCCCCTCGCCACAGACGCACCCTGACCCAGGAAGCCGACCGCAACGCTCGTCTCCGTAGCGGCGCCACGACAACAGTTTACACTTTCCATACAATTCAATTGGATCTCGTCACATCTCAAGACTCTGTACAAACATGAAGAAGAAAATAAACTGCGTTAGAATTGAAGGGGGGGCGTGGTGGTTCCGGCCAGGGAAACGGGAGAGGGGGGAGAGAGAGAAACTCCGTGGTACGGCCTCGACCGGGCAACCGGTGCCGAGCATCAACACCGACGGGCTCCCGGGGATCCTCTGGGAGACGGCTTCTCTTCACCAGCAAGTACCGTCAGGGAGCACGGCACTGCTTGTTTCGCTGCTGCTGCTGCCTGACCTGCATTGTGGTTTTGGGGTGGGGGGGGCGGTGGCTGTGTCTGCGGCTGGAGGCGCCACGCGAGAATCCAGCAGCAGGTGGCAGTCTCCGCACGCCGCGGGGACGGAGCCGCACCTTCCCGACGATCCCCGTTAGCGGCGAATCCCTAGTTTTGAATTGCCTCGTCGCTTTATCGCCGTGGAGTTTAGAATTTCGTCGTTTTTTTTACTTTTTGTGGCCATTGTCAAACGTGGCCGACGTGCGCGTGCGTCGGAGCAGACCGCGCTGACGCGTGTGGGCGGCGAGGCTGGCGGCAATCGAGCGCTTCGCTCCTCCCGCGGCGCCGGCGGTCTGCGTCGCGGCGGCGTTGTGACGTCCGTGATTTGGCAGCTGTTTTCGTTTCTCAAGTTTAACAGCTGCCTCGACGTTTCATTAAAATACTTTCTTGCTGCATCGCTTGCAGGAAATCCCTGTACAGTTGCACGGAGATGCCTTCGCCTTTATTGCTTTTCCAGCCTCGTTCAGGGGAAACAAAGGGAATGAATTCATCTCCATATATTGAAATGGCCATTACTGTTTGTATAAAGTCATTGTCAGTGGGATTTGTAATTTTCCCGTCGACACACAGGGATGCGTGCTCCGTCTGTACGATAGCCATTCCATTACACACGGACAGAGGAATCGAGATGCTTTTCTTCTGAGCTGCATGTACTTGTTAAATAGCTATAAGCGGGACATTGTTAAATAGCAAAAATGGGGACATTTTGCAATGCATTTTGTAAAAACTGTCTATCGCCGTTTCTGTCAGGCAGTTTTGCTGCACGTTTGTATGTTTTACAAATCGCAGTGCGTGTGTCCGTACAACGCGGCATCCACGCGACGTGTTCAGAGCCCACGATTATTTGACAATGTCCATCGTAATCGCACACGCCGATTGTTTAGCCAATTATCCGATCGCGAGAAAAAAAACCCCACGCCACCATGCACCCCAAACGGTCCGAGCGGACGCAGGGACGATGTTACGAATCTTGTGTTGGTATGGAGCGGAGTCCTGGGTCCCGTCCAGGACCAAGTCGCTCGGGGCGGGTCACGGTCGTCACGCTGGGGGGTCACGGGGTCACTCTGCGGGGTCACGGGGTCACGCTGCGGGGTCACGGGGCCACGCTGTGCCTGACCCGCACCCCGACGGCATGCCGTCAAACCGACTCGGTTCCGGTCCGCCTGGCGGTATCTGGCTACCCGTGGGTACCCATGAGCACCCACGGGTACCCACGGGTAGCCAATCCAATGCAGGACTGCTTGTCCAGTCACTCCTCGGTATGGATAGATGTCTTTTTTGGGCCCAAAGCAGATGTTGAACTTGTCAATACTAAGCAAGAAAGTAAATCATGAGTGGTACATTTTTCTATGTGGCCAATACAAGTACATTATGCCTGGAGTCAAAATACTATATTATTTTAACCCGCTAGTTCAGACCCTGTGGCCCAAATTATATGGGGTAAGTTCCGCACCTGGCACCTCACCCAGGTGTGGTTGTGGCTGTGCCTGCCGGTCCCATGCCACCTGCCTGATTTATCAACCTGGAAAATATTGGGTGAAAAATGCTCCAATTGCATCTATTTGCCTAAAATTGATGCTGCTGGAGCTTTGCTTTCTTAGGTGGCTCCAATGTCTGCGAAAGCCATGGAATAAAGTTAAGAGTGGTGAAGCGGTGAGCGGCGCAGTCCCGACGAGTTGCGTGTTGTTTACGTGGCGAGCTGCGGGTTGTGTTTAGGACATCCGGTTGCTGCTGCCAGGGTGAATGTGGAAGGTGCTGCGTTAGGCAGGGTGCAGCCCTGCAATTGCTTGTTCACAGCACTGTTGGCGGACGTCACGTTCATTTTGTTAACCCAGTTGAGAAGAGGAAGGGCCTCCGCTTGAGGGAGCTGTTGAGAAGCCCCTCTACTGGGCACTGCATTCATGGAGATCAAAGCGCTCTTGGGAAGAGAGCGGCCGCAAAGGGTCTTCTCTGCTGGCAAGCCAACCGATGCAGCTCGGATGCTCGCATCCCTCGCTCGTGGAGGGTGCGAGATGGCTCGGCGTTTATAATGGCTGTGTCGGAGCATTGGGGCGACACCGCTGACACCCTGCGTTCGAATCGGGGTTCAGCCGCCCATAATTAAACTGGGTTCTCGGGAGTCGTGGATGATGGTGTTAAAATAATAATCGTGGTTCTAAATTGATGTGGAATACTCCAGCTGTGAGGGTTCCATCAGCTTGTGAGCGATGAGACACCAAAGAGCTTAGGGATGAGAGATAATGGAAGGGACCTCACAAATTGCTGTGGCATCACCTTCCGACAGGGCGACGTTACGTTGCTCTGCGAGAGCTCCGAATGGACATTTATTCATCTCCATGACACCGGTAGCACAGGTAATATATTATTTCTTCAACATCTAAATGCCTCTTATCAGCGCTCAACCCTTCGAGTCCCATAATCACCCACTCCTCAAAGCCAGTGTCGCGAGGGGGGCGCCGTGCTAATCTGTTGTCAGTCCTCGGCCAGTGGAGGAAGTTCCACATTCCTGTGATGGGGGCAGTCACTCTACAAGACACCTCCAGCCCACCTCTCAGATTCTTGTTCCTGGACATAAGTTTCGGTGTAACTTATTACTGATGGCAACAAACTCGCAAATTTGTCAATTTTTCAAGTTGCTTTTTTTTCACACTACGGTGGCTTTAGTTGCTCGCGTTGTTTTTCTCGTGTCATGTCATTGCTGTCAATAAAACGGTTCCTTCGCTGTACGCGGCGTGCGATGAGTTTACGCAAGCGGCGCGAGACATGCGGCAAGGGCCGCAGGAGCTGGGCCCTGGCGTTCACACGAGGGGTGTGAAGTGGAAGGAACCGCACATTGACAAAGCGGTGGAAGAGATTTATTTCTCAATGTTTTGGGTAAAAGTTCACCTGGAAGTGGTTTATTTACTTGAAACGTTCTGTGAGCCGTTCACGGCCCTCCTATCGGCTCGCCATGTAAAACCGGCTGAATACACTGCAGTGCCATTGGGAGATGCGTCTACGCCCAGTCTCTATACCTGGGGCCAAACCCCACACAGAGCAATATCAACACTGAAGGTATGACCGTCGGTAAGGGCATTTGGGATGTGCACAGACGGAGAGACATGAACACAGATGCAGACAGATGTGGAGGGAGGGAGAGACATGTACGAGTCCTCCCTACCCCGACACGCCGATTCAATCCCTGCACCGAATTGCCGAGGAGTGACCCGTCGGTGCGAAGAGAGGGCATTGGTGGCTGGAGATGAGAGGAGGATGAAGTGAGGTGGAGGTAATGGGAGAGGGGGCCGTTGGCAGCAGTGAAGCGAGGACTGCGCTATGGATGCAAAGGAGAGAGCTGTGGATGAAGGAAGGAGCTGTGTATGGATTGGGAACCATTACCTATGGCCGTGGGGTGTTGACAGTTATCTGCTACACCTGGATACAAAGATGCATATAATTGCAGACACTGACACGAGAAAGCCAGAAACGGAGATGAGTGACAAAATGGAGACAGACACATGGAGAAGGTTGTATCGAGGAAAAAACGGGAAAATTAAAAACAAAGACGGACGTGGAGAGACCGACAGCATTAGATTAAAATGGAGAAAAAAAACCAGGCGGACTAATAATTCCACGCACAAACCGACAGAGAATCTGATACAAAACAAATTTGGGGTGTGGGGGGGGGGCTAAACAAGTGGGGGCTTTGTGCGGGAGTTGCGCAGCATTGCGGCATGCCTGGTCACACTCGAGCTGCGATGGGGAGCGGTGGTGGTGATGCCTCGAAGAAAATTCGTCCAATTCTCCACCTCGAGCCCTCGCCTGCTGCAGCAACACCGCCACGTGACCTTGAGTCTACTGAAGACGGCGGCGAGTCAGCCGAGGCCACCAGCCCCGTGCCGTCGGGTTGGGGAGCCCCCACCCCCAAAGCCCCCACCCCCAAAGCCCCCACCCTGCTGAAGGTTCAAGCCCTCCTTTTACATTCTGAGAGGCAACTAATTTAATATACAGAGAAAGATAGACGCACGCAGATCGCATCGTTACTGAATCTGTCTCGCGTTTAACGTTGTTTCAAGTTTCCCTTTGCCCCATTACGAAAGGTCACGCTGCAGGGTTGCCCAGGGTCGTGGCTGCTGTGACCAGTCGGCTCGCCTGCACCGCCTCGCGTGACCCCACGTGACCCCACGTGGCGGGCGACTGCGACTCGGGGAGAAGTCGCTCGGACTCCACCCCACGAGTCGAGTCGCACTCCGTCACTCGACCCGGGGCGACAGATTTGTCCGGGCGACGCTGCCAAGCGACAAGAGGAGCGGAATAAATCAATGCCAGGCCAATTGCCCGCGCCGTCCATCACCTCCTGACGCTGTTGCTGCTGACGACGACATCGCGTTTGCTGTGGGTCGAGACAGAAGCGATGCCGAGTGTGGGACAGCATTCTCATGCTCGTGTCGTGTGTGTGTACACACACATCCGTTGCTGGATGTGTGTGTACACACAGATCCGCTGCTGGATGAAGGCTGCCCCACGCCGTCGCCATCTCTCACGGTCAGATGCTGCTGCGATCCTTCTCGCTCTTGCGCATGAACGGATCTCATCGCTCCATCTCCACGGCGGATGCCCCCTTAGTCGCTTTCCTGCTTGGGCTACCATGCAGTTGTTATTCCTGCACGCCGATCATCATCCCTCGACGTGTGCTGCCCCCCCCCATCACCAGTATGTACCACGTGGCTAATACGGTGGCCCAATGGTTAGCACACTGCATGATGAACCAAGCCACTGGAGTTACATTTGTAGAACTTCGCTAGAATTTATATCATTCAGTTGCAGTCAGATTAGTTGTTGTCCTTGTTGTGATCCTGGTGACCTGGGTTTGATTCCGGGTGAAGGATGACAATTTCATGTATTCCATCAAGATACAGCAATCGTGCTGTGACGGTTCCACCTGAAGACGGAAGCTTGTGTTGCCTCCGAAACGTCGTGATTTTTATTTTACTTTTATTAATTTTAATTTTATTTTTTACCCACGTGACTTTACCGAAAAACCCTAAGAGTATGAATCATTGCAGTCACGAAAGCTTCAAATCTATTCCATGAAACTATTTTGGGCCTCGCCGACTTGGACTCAGCCTTGAGTGAGTTGCACGGTGCCGTGTGCGAACATGAGCAGCGACCCCACAGATGCCCATTTGTGCGGCTGGCCACACCAGCCGCTCGCGCCCTTTCCTGGCCTTCACGAGGCGCTCGCCAACAGCGCCGGCCCCAGAAAGCGCTGTAGGCTACACGAGATCGTTGTGGGAGTAGCACGTGTGTTCATCTGTCTGTGTGTTGTCTTTGGACTTGGGTGTCAAGTCGTCGTCAGAAAAAAACCCCGCTTCTTGTTCGACAGGAGGATGGCATTGCTATCAGCGAGCACCTGTTAAGGGCAGCAGCGCAAATTCCGGGTCACATTTTGGCAATCTGACCACGCAGAGCCAGGAAGCCGCCTCATTTTAAGTCATCCCTTGAGTCAACCCAAGGGATGACCAGATCAGATTACCATGCAACTCGCAGACACACACACACGTTGACACATGCGCGCACACACATACGTAGAGATCATGTACATCAATTCACATGCACGCGTTAATAATTGAGAGGCATTCGCATCGCACATTATTGGCCGTCAAATGCTTAAATGTCAACACAGAGCCGCGGGGGCTCGGCGGTGGAAGCAAATCATCTGTGCAGCAGACCAACTCGTTAATTACTCCACAAGGACGGGGCCTCGCAAAGAGCAAACAGCTCTCACGCAGGTAGCGCAACTGGGCCGGGCGTGCGGGGCCGTCTGAAGCTGCGCGAGTGACGCGATGCGTCCCTGTTGATGTTCAGTCAGCGAGCAAGGAGGGACCCAGCCGCTGAAGGGACCCCGTGTGGTTGACCGCGCACATCGACCGAGCACACGATGGATGTTCGTCGAGGGATGGCTATTGGCACGCGGCGTTGCGTCAGTACGAAGACGTTCAAGCGAGATCCAGGCGGTCACGCTCGACTTACACGCAGGGGAGCCGAGGGTTACACTTCCAGTTCGCTTGTCGGAGTTGGCCCTCCACCAATCATCCTTGCGGGGTAAATCACACCACGAGGGAAGCCACCCGGGGTCGGCACTTTGGAAAATCTGGATCCCGTCATTGGAATGTAGAATTGCCTCCATTGATAAATAATTAAAACGAGTACGGTCCGAGTTTGAGCAGGGATACTCTCAGGGCAAAGTTCCAGCTCTTACAGTTCAACGACCGTCCCTTCCTTGCGTTGCCCTTGATTTACTTTGCCAGGAGAGCCTCGGCGAGTCTCTATATCACTTGCTGTACTGCGATCTTCCCACTACTTGAAATCCAGCTGCATTGTAGGTTTCACATCTCTACGTGATCCACCGACCTTTGCCTCCAAAGCGCTGGATCGTAGGCCCAACTTTGGAGGAGGGGAGGGAGTGAGGTTTTGCCACATGAGCCAAGTGGAATTACGGTTCCAGGAATAATGGTTTGTGTTCAATGATCTGCGTTGGTTGCCGTGATTAGATTTTACATCACCTCCCTTGCGAGAGAGATAATTAATCTCTGAGGGCCCTCGTCTCATTAATGGGAGGCTCTGATAGACATGCTGTACACACCTGACGCGTGGAAACGTCTCCTTTTGCTATTTGCATTTTCCCCGCAAAGCAAATCTCCCATGATCCCACTGCGACGTAATTAAGAGTGAGGGATCGTGTTCCGACTTCTGAACGTCTTGAAGAAGTATCGGCTCACACTGAGGGTGGCTGTGGTTGGGGTTGTCCACAGGCGTCAAACAACCGCCACAAAACCATAAACATACGGCGAAAATCCCTCCTGTTTTGTGTTAATTGCTTTCTGCTCTCAATTGCATCCCAGCTGTGCCACTGACGTGATGACGACGGCGAAATAAACGCTCTCGCAGAAAGCAGCGCACCACCCTGTGTCAGAGAACGGCCTCTGGAAGATGATAGCACATAACTACTTTTGAATTCCTTCCAATGGCCTCTTATCCGCATGCCCTGCTGGAGGTGTTTGTCGCATGGCAGTCAAACCAATACTCACACATTTCAGAGCCTGGATTCAGCTTAAGTGCAACATGAAATTCAATGCAGCCATTGGAGATCAACTCACTACCTCGGAGCAGCCGGCTTGATCACAGGAGGCTCAGACTCCGATGCTAATCCAAAACCAACGCACGCATGCAAGGGAAGACAGACGACACGAGGATTACCGCACGCATAGCCCGGCCGCAGCCGACTCACTGTGTTTGTACGAACCTAATTACTCCCCCACTTCAAAGCCGAGCCTACCGATCCACCGCACTGCGGAGGCAAGAGTTGGTGGATCACGGAGAGAATGTGGCAGCTCCCACCACGTGATGTACCGCGGCTCATCGTGGCGGCCGTGGCACGCGGAATGCGCGTGCCACGCGCGCTGCTCGCAGACGCCACGCGTCGCGGGACAGACTGATCGCAGGCGCCCCTCTCCTCGCCACGTTTAATTAGCTCATAAAACACGTCCCCACCATTAATTACTGCCACTAATTCAGTCGACACGGAGAGCCCCGCCGGGAACAGCAGGGAACCCGACCACCCCGGCCCTCCCCCACGATCTCCCTCCGCACGCAGCCTCTCTCGTCCCCCCAATGTCCATCTCCCATCGAACCTCGACACCGAGCCCCCCCCCCTCCCCACTCAATCTCCTATCAGCCCACTCAG